AGGCAGGGGGGGAAACGAAATGAACGAGTGGCCAGGCAGGCTAGGAAACGGAATGCAGGGCAGGGGGGGAAACGGAATGAACGAGTGGCCAGGCAGGCTAGGAAACGGAATGCAGGCAGGGGGGGAAACGAAATGAACGAGTGGCCAGGCAGGCTAGGAAACGGAATGCAGGCAGGGGGGGAAACGAAATGAACGAGTGGCCAGGCAGGCTAGGAAACGGAATGCAGGCAGGGGGGGGAACGAAATGAACGAGTGGCCAGGCAGGCTAGGAAACGGAATGCAGGCAGTGGGGGGAAATGTTGCAAAAAAAAGTGCGGCTTATAACCCGGTGCGCTTTATATATGAAAAAAGTTTGAAAAATTAACGTTAACTGATACTGCGGCTTATAATCCGGTGCGCCTTATGGTCGTGAAAATACGGTAATTACTTTCACTACATTATCCTGAGTAAGTTAATGGTGAGAGGAGAAAAGAAATCAAAGCCAGTAAAGATAAAAACCTCAAAAAGAATCTTTACAAAGAGTTCAGGAGAACTGTTAGGAGACATTCCAACCTTCAATCGGACATTGATTGACAGATAATAAATAATTCAAAGGAGATCTAACGAAAGTGGAAAGTGCATGCTGAAATAATGTATAGCAGAGATACCAATATTCAGAATACCTTAAAAGATATTTCTTAATTACAAGAACCCCTAATACTAGAAGATAAAGTTAGATCAGCATTCCGGTCATTATGGAACAGGAAGTTACAGAAACTGACAGACTATCCAATGAATTATGGCAAACAATAAAAGAAGCATTAGTAAAGTTCTAAATAAGCTATACAGTATCAGCAAGTCTGTAGAATGACACAGTGGTCAAGAGATTGGAAGAGGTAAATCAACATCCCAATCCAATAGTGTGCAAACTATCTTACCATATCCTTAATACCACATGCTAGTAAAATACTTGTAGCAAGTAACGTTAAGGATCATCCACAATGCCGATTAGAGACCTACATGGGGGAAAAAAAGATACCAGATGTTCAAACTTTAGAAAAGGCAGAGGAACATAAGACATTATTGTGATGGGAATATGTACAATTTTGTTGCATTTATTTTGTACAATGACAATAAAGACTTTGCTATGGACAGAACATGATGAAACAGAGGGGCTCCAGGATGTCAAAGGAGTGCAACAAGGCTGTATATTCCATTTATTCAACCTATGCACCAAATGGCTATTAAGGGAAGCTGGACTGGAAGAAGTTAAGTGTGATTTTAAAATTGAAGGGAGAATTGAAGGACTTCAGTGACATGAATTATGTTGATGACACTACTCTGATAGCTGAAAATGCAAAAGATATGCAAACTCTAAGAAAAAAAAAAGAACACGGTGAAAAAAGGGACTAAAATAAAATAGAAAGAAAACCATATTAATGATATAAGGTAGAAGCAATAGTCTTAGAAATGACAATGAAGGGAACAAAATAGTGAGTAACATATGTCTTTTATTTAGAAAAAAAATGTGTTATCACCTATACAGTGTTTCTATGAAAATAAGACCAGGTCTTATATATATATTTGGACCAAAAGACCCAGGCCTTTTTTTTTCAGGGGATGTCTTATTTTGCAGGGGCCTGCCCACTCCCTCCCACTATTTACTTGCGCACAGCCGTAATGCCACAGGGCTTCCCAGGCAGACATACTTTTCACCTGGATGGAGAAATGACGGAGACTGGAAACTTTGTCTGCTTGCAAATGGGACGCTTTGATATGGAGCTAACACTGGAATCGGTTGCATCCCCCTTCCCCCAGTGGTTCTGCCTTCGCTGGCTCTACCACACACTTTTCACCCAGAGGGAGATGAAGCTTTGTTAGTTTACAAATGAGATGCTTTGAAATGGAGGTAATCTGTCCATTTCAAAGCATCCCATTTGCAAGCAGACGAAGCTTAGAGTCTCCATCATTTCTCCGACTGGGTGAAAAGTGTTTGGGCACCTATGGGATGCTAGGGAAAGGAGTGATTTGCTCCATCCAAAGCAAATGATTATTTGAGTAGCACAGACATAACAAACAGGGAAAGATGCAGACCTGTAATGATGATCTTACAGTAACTTGAATGCCTTCAAGACATAGGACACATTAAATACATACTGTTTAGGATTTTTGATATTTTCTCTGAAGACTCCTAGAAAAGTAGAAAGATACCAGAAAATTGAAGAACGATAAATATAGTCCACCTCTGAAAAAAGGAGGGATGGGGAAGAGAATCCCAATAATTATAGTTAGTCTAACATTAATTCCTGGAAATAAGTCAGAACAGGGAATAGAGCAAACCACTTATAAGCGTCTCAAAGACAATATTACTACCAAAAACATGGCACTGTCAAAAATAGATCATGTGGGACAAAACTCTTATGATAGACTAAGTGGTCCACGAATAAGAGAAATGCTGTGGATGTACTTTGCCTTGATTTCATAAAGTTTTACACAAGAACATGACCTTCTCACTTAACCTATTAGATAATTTGAGCAACACTTCAGAAAGATAGATTCACAACTGGTGACTAATTGCACATAAAGTCAGCATCAACTTGGATAACAGCCACCAGTGGGATCTCACAGGAGTCTTGTTAGATTCTTAGTCTTATTTTATTAATGGCCTGGATAACAGGAGTGGTGAGCTGCTTATCAAATTTGTGGCTAATATTACATTGAGACATTTGGGCAATACCCAGGATGATAGAATGAGGTTATAATTTAATCTTGACAGATTGGAAGACTAGGTTGAGAAGAATACAATGTTTTTCAATAGGGAAAAATATAAATGTAAAAATGGGGAGAGAAAACATAGAAGCACAAAAAATAAAGGACTCATGACATGGAAGTAAAGAACCATATCAGCAAAAAAAAAAAATTGGGTGCAGTCATTCACAGGAAGCTGAACATGAACTAGCAGGGTAAAACAAACACTAGAAATCTAATGCAATTCTGGACTGCAATAATACTGTATCAAAGACACATGAAATCTTATTTCCATTTACTCGGCATCAACAAAACCACACTTGGGGTACTGAGTACCTCATTTCCAGAATAATATTGTCAGGTCAGAATAGACTCAGAAGATGGTGACGAAGATGATACAGATTTGAGATATGCTCTATAAAGAGACAGAAGGAAGTAGGGATATTCAATGTAAAGAAAAAAACTAGAGGAAGATATGTCAGATATAAGGGAAATAAAAAGGTGTTATAGGGAAAATGATCAGAAGATACTTTAGAATTTATTTAACTGTCAGGAAAAATTTCCTAATTCTTAGATCTTCACAACAGTGGAGACTGTTGTTTCTGTCTCTGGAATACCATCCCTGGAGTATGGTTTAATTGATTTTTTTCTGTGCAGTGCAGATGTTTAACTAAATTCCTAATGGTTCTTCCAGAATTCTAGGTTTCAATAAAAATGTGTAGCTTCATAATACAAGCAGGAATTATAAACATTCTACTGTAATATCAAATAAATCAAGTAACATATACCACCCCAAAATGAAATACAGGTAGTCCTCAACTTATACAATTGAGCCCAAAATTTTTGTTAAGTGAGTTTTGCCCCATTTTACATTTCTTGCCTCAGTTGTTAAGTGAATCACTGCAATTGATAAGTTAGTAACTCTTCATGACTTGGGACCCGGTTATCTGAGGACCATCTCTTGCCGGTCACATCTGCCCAACCCATCAGAGCAGATGGGCAGGGAATGTTGCGGGTCCCATCCCAGAGGGAGAAACACCTGGTGGGAGAAGGGCCTTCTCTGTGGTGGCACCCTCTCTCTGGAACATAATTCCCCCAGAGATTAGAATGGCCCCCATGCTAACATTCTTCTGGAAGGAGCTGAAGACCGGGTTCTGCCAGTGGGCCTGGAGAACCCAGGGCAAGATGGAGCCCATTAAATGGCTCATGTGATCTGCTGTCACCGTGGAGGGGGATGATTTTATCATGTAATATTATATTAATTTGATTCTATTTTATTTTATTATGTTCAGGGGTGGGCTGCTGCCAGCTTTACTGCCAGTTCGCAACCGATGAGCAAAGTGCGGGTACTCTTCAATGTAAATTGTTCTATGCAGATGAGCAGAACAATTTACAGTGAACTGCGCATGCACAATCACCAAAATTCAAAATGGCGGCGGTCAAGCAGCAGCAAGGGAACTGGTTCGGAGACGTGGCAGGCCTGGGTCGCAACCCACCTCTGGTTTTGTTGTTTTAAATGAGGTTTTATATTCTGTAAGCCGCCTTGAGTCGCCATATGCGAATAAGTGGCAATATACATTCAATAAACAAACAAACAAACAAACCAGCTTGTTAAGTGAATCTGGCTTCCCCATTTACTTTGCTTGTCAGAAGGTCGCAAAAGGGGATCACATGACGTTGGAACACAGCAACGATGAACCAGTTGCCAAGCATTTGAAAATTGATCACATAATCATAGGGATGCTACAAAGGTTGTAAGTATGAAAAATAGTCATAAATCACTTTTTCAATGCTGTTGTAACTTTGAACAGTCACTAAGTGAACTGTTGTAAGTCGAGGACTACCTGTATAGAACCAATTGGGCTGAGACAACGGCTACCTAAAAATCACTCAACAAGCTTCCTTGACTCAGGATGACTAGAACTCCAAAATCTTATGCATACTTTATTATAACTTCTGGATACAGTCATCATGTAAAATCAAGTTATTTGTAGTTTAAAATATTTTAAGCTTCATTCAGCAGAACATCAATATTCTTCTAAACAAAATATTTTACGAGCTGATCCTCTGTCACTATGAATATATTAGAGCGGAGGTGGCGCAGTGGTTAGGGTGCAGTACTGCAGGCCACTTCAGCTGACTGTTATCTGCAGTTCAGCCTTCCATCCTTCCGAGGTGGGTGAAATGAGGGCCCAGACTGTGGGGGCGATATGCTGACTCTGTAAACCGCTTAGAGGGCTGAAAGCCATATGAAGCGGTATATAAGTCTAACTGCTATTGCTATTGCTATATTCAGTAAATATAATTAAAGTTTGAATTAAAGCTCAGATAGCATATTTTCAGTAGAAAGGATCCATTTCCCTTTCTGCCCCATATTGAAATGGGATGAAATTAGTGCGACTGTAATAACGAATGCTAATACATTGCCACCTGCCAAGTAAGTTCAGATATCATTAAGATGCATTACATATTAAATGATAGAAGAAATATCCAGTGTTCTTAAACCGCGTTTTATAGCCATACTCTCTCTTTTTTAAAAAAAGAAAGGGAAAAAAGTTGCAGGTTGTTCCACATTAAAAATGTGTGGTGTTTGGTGCTCTGGAAATATTTAAAAATACTCAAAACCAGATGACGACATATTTCATTCCCAACTCTATGATCGCTCTCCAAAGACCTCCAAACATCAACTATAAATTCTAGGGTTTTGTTTCCCGTTAGATTCACAGGGGTCTCCAAACTTATCAACTTTAAGACGTGGACTTCAATTTTCAGAATTCTCCAGCCAGCTATGCTATGCTGGAGAATTCTGGGAGTTGAAGTCCACAAGTCTTAAAGTTGCCAAATTTGAAAAACTCTGCAGTCAGAAGAACCTTCCAATCTTCTCCGGTCTCGCTTAACTCCCCAAACCCGCCACATCCCTCCCTTCACGCTCAACTTTCCTAATCTGACCGCGTGCCTAAATTTCCAAAGTCAACACTTCTTAATTAAGAAAGCAAACCCCGCACGCCTTTTCTCCACAGCTCGTGTTATTCGGGGTCAATACGAAAGTGAGAAGGGAGGGGGAAGCTTTCAAGAAACCTGAACCATCATTCCCACACACGCCCCAAGACACACACACAAAATCACACACATACACACACACACTAAAATAACGCTGCTACTCAATTTGACAACTTCTCCCACCTAAACATCGCCCACCCCCACCCACTCCACTCCCCGCCACCTGCAGCGGCCTTTCTCACCCGGATCCTGCGAAGTTAACTCGCCGCCCGACGAAGCGTTGGGAGGAGATAAACTACTACTGGAGTTGGGGGGAGGCTTCCAACGCGTCCAGGGATTCTCTTTAGGCGGCGGTGCCTCGACCACATGACACGGCGGCGGCCTCCCCCGTAGTTGCCACTTGTCGTTTCCCTCCCCGTCCTCTTGCTGCCGTTGCGATTGCAAATCCTCGTCGAAGCCACTTTCCCGGGAAGTTTCAGTTACTTGGCCGGAAGGAAGCAGGAACGGCTCCCGGTGGTTCTCTTCCAGTAACCAGGCCTCACCGTTCCTCTTCTCCGCGCCCCGAGATGGTGGCTGCGGGGCAGCCGCTGACATGCCGAAGAGGAGCCGCCGCACCGCCCGGCACGCTCCTCTCCCTCCGTTCCCTGCCGGGCAGCAGTAGGGAGAGAAGCGAGGCGCCGAAAGACCGGAGCGAAGCTGAGAGAAGCTCCGTGCTGCGAGCCTGGGCCGCCCCACGGGGGCTGAGGCTGGAGGGAAAGCGCCCCCCCGCCCGAACAGCGGCCTCCGGGGGCGGCGTTGTTCATACACCTCAAGGGGTGGTTCAACCGCCACCGCCCTACGGCGGGGAGGAACGGAGAGAGATCGTGCGTGGCGCGCGGAGAAAGGGAAAAAAAACGAGGGTTCCCGACGACGACGGGTGTGTGTGTGTGTGGTGAGAGAGTCAATTTTCGAGGGCCTGGTGAGCACCGTCACAGCTGTCGTGTGCGTGCTATCTCGCGCCGGGGGAGGGGCGGGGTGGGTGGGAAAGGGGCGGGGATAAGTGCACAAGGAAGGGAATAAAAGGAAGAGGGGAAGGCGAAGAACTAGTAAGCAAGGCGATCACTACGAAGAGGTGGAGTCTTCAAACTCTTCGATCCGTTGTGACATCACAACGGCCAGCAGCGCAGAGTGGAGCGGAGTCTTTTTTTTTCTTATTTTGGGGTTTGGCTTCCTCCCCCCCCCCCTCAGGTGGTGGGGAATTTTAATCGAAAGGGATGAGCACCTATTCGGCCAAGGACCTCTGAATGGGAGATCAGGAGGAAAAAAAATTGTCCTGGCAAACAACCTTGGGGGTGGGGGGGAATCTAGGACTGAACGTTTTTTAATGTCTCTCTCCGGTGTTCGACGAACGATCGATGACCACTTTTTAACTACGATTTGTGAACCACTTCGGAATCAGTTCGTGCGATTTTGCCCAGGCTTAACTGTTTTCGAATAAGAAAAACACGGGGTGCTTTGTCAAATAATGCTCAATTGAAATAAAGAGGAGACGAGAAAATAAAGATTTCTGGGAATGACACTGTTTTCAAGGCACGTGCACATACTTCTTTTTAAGGATCTGCGCTAGAATGTCTGATACTGATTGGATTGTTGAATGCTAGATTTTCCTTTGTCCACTTTTCAGACAGTTGTTCTGTCTTCCCATCTCTCCGGGATCATGGTGGTCTCGTCAAAAGATAATAGTACCTTAGGGCGCAATTCATCAGGTCTCGGTGATTTAATTCAAAGCTAAACAAAAAAAGAATTTCCTGGCCATGTTTTTTTTATCACTTTCAAGTTCAGTCCTGCCCTTTCGTTTTGCTCCTTGCTTTTTTTTTTTTTAGGAACAGGATTTGTTTTTGAGAAGACTGGAGTTGAGCAGTTCCACCTTTTTGGTTTTTTGATTATTTTTTCTGTAGTGTTATATCTAAAGCAGACCTTTTGTTGTTATTGGGATATCTTATTAATATTAAGCTTGGTTTTGAACTCTTGTTTCCTTGATATGCGTTCTATAGTTCTAGCTATTTGTCAGTACCATTCCTTTCTAATCTTAAATCCTTTTTCCATTTATTGTTGATCAAATTATGATGAACTGAATTGGGAAATAAAAATGCAGCTTCAGCTTCCTTGTCACCTCTTCCTCTAGGATTTTAATCAGTTTTGCAAATTTACTTCTGTAGGAAGTTAGCACCCAGCCCTCTCCTGGAAAAATGAAATATCCTGGGGAATGTTGAAGGGGTAGAGTGTTACATTTCCCTGGATGGGAAGTGCAGAAACATGTTTTTGAGCAGGGGACAGACTCACTCTTGGTAGCCCCGCTTTCCTCAATGGCCTATTAAGATGCCCAAGCCAGTCTATTCGACATAATAAAGAGTTCTCCCCTTCAGCTCCAGAGTGATGGGATGAAGGCAGTGGTTCTCAACCTTCCTAATGCCCTGACCCTTTAATACAATTCCTCATGTTGTAACCGCCAACGATAAAAAAAATTTCGTTGCTACTCTGTAACTGTACTTTTGCTACTGTTGTGAATCGTAATGTAAATATCTGATATGCAGGATGTATTTTTATTGTTATAAATTGAACATAATTAAAACAGTGATTAATCACAAAATAATATGTAATTATATATTGTGAAATATTTATTTCTAATTACAAATAAATGAAATTTTGTCTTGAAGCATGGTGTAGCATGGGGGTCGGCAATCTTAAACACTCAAAGAGGCATTTGGATCCGTTTCCCACAGAAAAGAAAACACCGGGAGCCACAAAACCTGGGTAGGTGTGGCCAACTGAACATCACTCCCACCAAGTCACATGACATCCCCCCAAGACATGCCTACACAGGTTTCATGGCCCAGTGTTTTCTGTGGGAAACAGATCCAAATGGCTCTTTCAGTGTTTTAAGATTGCCGACCCCCGTGCTATACCATGCTTCAAGACAAGATTTCATTTATTTGTAATTAGAAATAAATATTTCACAATATATAATTACATATTATTTTGTGATTAATCACTGTTTTAATTATGTTCAATTTATAACAATAAAAATACATCCTGCTTATCAGATATTTACATTACGATTCATAATAGTAGCAAAATTACAGT